CGATGAACAGAAATAAATCTACACATTATTGCCATCTGATACTTGACAGAAGCACATCTTTGCACATTGGAGTAAAGACACTTCAATAAACCATGCTGGGAAAACAAGATAAAATCACAAGACATCTGTGATTCATGTTTTATTTCAATCTGTCATCTAGACAAACAAACACAGTGGCTGAAATACCCAAACATCAGCCATAAAACTGCTAACCAAAAGATAATCAAAACATAAGCCATAAGACTGCTAACCACCATAAGAAAGCACTGGGAAATAACTCAAATTTTAGAGTTTGCAATGATTTTTTTTTTAGATAAGATCATCAAAAAGACCAAAAATAGACAAGTACATGTGAGAGGTTTTTGCACAACAAAGGTGTTCATAAATAAAGTGAAGAGTCAGTTTTAGAATGGGGAAATATTTGAAAACTATTCATCTGACAATATTGAGCACACAAGGAACTCAATAATGCTGCAGTTAAAAATAATTGAAATAGGCACATTAATTGCAAAAACATGTCTCAAAATTGGAAATATAGTTTATAGGTGTGTGAGAAGAAAAGGCCTTCTAATTGTATGGAAAAAAAAGGCTTTATGTCTAACCAGCAGTGAAATGAAAATGAAAGCCACAGAAATAGCTGTCTAATAGGCTACTAATATAACAACAATAATAAATGGTGAGTGGAGTTTTAATTGGTATTGCTATTGTTAGAAGTAGAATTGAGCTTCTAAAAATCTAAAATTGGAACTACCACAGGAACCGTAATTACCACTACTACATACGTAAATGTAAAATTACCCATGCAGGTACAGGTTCCCAAGGCTTTGGGTCATCCTCAATTGCTCTCCCAGGCCACAATCAGGGAGCTGGATGGGAAGCAGGGCCACTGTGATTAGAACTGGTATGCATATGGGATCCAGGAGCATGCAAGGTGAGGACTTTGACAGCTGGACTACTGTGCCAGGCCCAGTTTCATAAATTCTTATACATCTTTATGACAGAGTAGATTTTACTCTTGGGAGGCAGTACCGACCACTATCCAATAGTAACAGTAATCTCCTGAAGCACTGTGGTTGGATATTAACTGCAGTAATGGATTTCATGAAAGTAACTTTGGAATTGCCATGTAAAAAAACCAAACATTTAGATCATTCACTTAGAGATGGGCTTAAATTTCCAGTAATATAACCAGTTAAATGACTTTAGGTCAATGATTAGTTTATCTGAAGTTGATATCTTTGTATATGAGAATAATAAAATCTAACTCACTTGTGGGGATCAAAATATATATTTTCAAACTATTACACGCCACAGATGGTTATTTGAATAGTAAATTCAAGGAAAAGTAAATTTTATTTAATGTCACAATTCCATCATGATTTCAGATATCTATTTTAATGAAATTGAGTTGATACAAAAATATTCTCTATGATTCCTTCAATTATTGGTTTAGAACGGTTGAGTGATTGCCTTTCATCATGTGTCACCACAGACCTAGCAGATCATTATGATGTTTTGTTCCTTTCCTTAATTTGTCTCCACATTTTGTCACTAGGGAATATGCAGCACATCCTAGATAATTAGCAGGCAAGGCTTTTTAAGTCTCTCAGATATGTGATGATATGAATTAATTATGTATTATCTCTTCAGAGAGGTTCACCAAGAAGGAGGAAACTATATATTCTTCCTACAAAGAAAAAAATAAGGCTGTCTTCTCAGAAGACAATCCACTTCTTCATTAGCATTAAATGGTTTAGCAGTATTGATTTTGATGATCACCTCTACGTGAATAATTTCGCATGAAGACTGGCTTTCAACTTCAGACATTTGTTGGTAACTTCCAACTGATTCCTTCAAATACAGCATGAAAAATTAATATAGCCATTGTTAACTGAGGCTGCTTGGACTTGGGTGGTGTGTTAGGGTATTAAATCCTGTGAAAAGGTGTCCTGGAACAATGAGACATATTAGCGGTACTTGCAGCAAACTGCAAGCAAGTCTACTTAGAATCTTTTATGGTTTTTAAATCAAAATGTCTTTATAATTGGGATATTTTGAAAATATAAGCAACAAATAAGGAGTATTTTGTAGGAATATAACAAATGTGATATTTAAAATATATTTTAATATAAGTGTCTCAGACCATGGCTTACAAACAGCAAATAATTTTGTGCAAGAATTTTACATAGCAGTAGATGGTTTTTTCCTACTGTTTTTTTTAAAATTTTCTTTGAAGAATGGGCAACATAAACTTGCAAATACATAGGATTTTAAGAGTTATGGAATTATTGTAATCATCTCAAGTAATATTTTTATCTATCATCACAGCAGAAGTTGGGTGATTGTAAAGATTTCATACATTTTATCTGCATATATTCACTGTGATAATAGCATAAACAGCATGTTTAAAGTACATGTTATAGGTTCAAAAGAAAAATAGAAATACGCTTTTCTACACAAGAAAATAGGATAGTTTGTACCTTATTGTCAGTGTCTCTCTCTTAACTCCTACACCTCTGACAGCCAGGATTCTATCTCCACTTCTGTAATTTTGACTTTTGGAAGGTTCCTGTTTCAAGATGATATGAATGATTTCAAAAAGTGTGATTTACTCCATATCTGAATTATTTCATTCAGAGCAAAGTCCTTGTTTCGTCCATGCTGTCACAAATTGCAAACTTTTTATTTATTTATTTTAAAGATTTATTTTATTTTTATTGGAAAGGCGGATATACAGACAGGAGAGACAGAGAGGAAGTTCTTCTGTCCGATGATTCATGACTGAATAATAGCGTATATTTCATAAGTAGATATTATCTATCTGTATCTATGAGTGAATTTCTAAAGACCCATACAAAATATGTATGATGAATATATTATACATGAATTTCTAATTATTGGACCTCTCAAATTGTTATGTATACATTACAGCCCACATATGTTCTTTGCTGGAACTTAACCAATGTAAGATTTTTGATGGAAAAGTGTGTCTGTATATTACACAAGATATTTCCCAAGCCATGTATCTGTGTGTGTATTACATATCTTCATTCACTTATCTGTTAATAGACATTTGTTCTGTTGCACACACAGATATATGTGTCTATGTATGTATATATAGAGAGATATGAAATCATAGTGTACTTCTTAAATATATAAGCCTTTTGTTTGTCAATCACAGTTCTTCAAATCTGAAAAATTCTTAATTACCAAATAAATAAAGACAGAGTTAAATTTTTTAAACTATCAAAAGGAGATATTGTTGATACTGAAAAGGGATATAGAATTAATATGCAGAAGGCCTTAAAACATCTTATTAATCATCACTATAACCCTCCTCTGCCACCATTTCCTGGATCACAATGGCCAAGATCCATAAGAAGTAAAAATTAGAGAATTTTAAGAATCACTCATTGTCTCTTGAGGCTACCATAGTTTCATGCTCTAGGTTTGAAATGTTGCTGGAATCCCAGAATATTTTATCCACAGTTCTACAAGAAAGAGCTACCATTCCATTATGGCCCAGTAATTATATGCTGATTTCATCTGACGATAAATCTGGAACTCCAATTGCTTCTCAAATTGACATCACTGTTCTACAGTTCCAGTGTTGTAGCCAGAAGTACATGTGTATGCATGCAATCCAGGTAGATCTGGTTAAATGAATTTGATTGGACAGCTCCCTTTGCTTCATTAACTTCTCTTTCTTGCTTATTAAATGAAGCAGTATCGCCTATCACTGTAATATGTTAAGTCAGTGTTACCCTCTATCCTAGACTCGATTTCTCATTGATAGTAATGTGATGTGCTAAATGTTCAAATAGGCATTATTGATCCTTTACAGATGGTGGTTTCTACAATGTTGTAAAAAGAATGTAAAGCATCTGATACTAATTCATGCAAAACTTTTGCTTTTGCAATAATAGATTCCTATATTCATGTCTTTAATATGAGGGGATTTTATTAAAAAAAAGAAAAAAATGTAAATTAAGAGATAAATGTGTACATCTGTATTTAGAAAGGAAAATTCAGTGTGCTGGGAGTGTTATAAACATTTCTATTCCAGAATAGAAAAGGTGTCATGTATCTTGAAACATATGAATATACCCACTAAACTTCAAATAAAATAACATTAATCTAATCCTTCCTTAACTGAAATGTGTACAGCCACACCAATTCAACTCATGAATAGTTGAACTATTGTGGAGTACAAGTCAACATAGAAAAAGAAAGCAGATGCACTTGATCATGGTTATAGTGTTCTACAGTTATAAAAGAGGGTCCCTTAAATGTAAGATCCCTTAGCTTTGTTTTACATGGTCTCTGTCTCTCTAAGAATACTGAAAATATCTAAGTACCAGCAAAAATAGAACTGTACTAGAAAAATAAAAGAATAAAAAAGATCATGGATGTATGTCTTAAGTTAGATCATAATTAGAAGTATTACAACTTTATTGCACAGAAATTTGAATAAATTAATATTCACTTATTCTACTATTATAAAAACAGAAGGTAGAATTTTGAATCCTTTGTTTTTACCATAAAGAAACTTTGAAGTTTTGAGGATCGATGAATGTATCTATCTTTCTTTCTTTGTGTGTTTTTGTATGTATGTGTAAATGTGTATATTTATTATGTGCAGATATAAACATTTACTTTCAATTGAACATTACACAGTAATTATATATACTGAAATAACACATGGTATCACATATGCATCTGTTCAAAAATTTTAAAAAGAAAAACACAGTCAGTCATCTGCCTTTGCTATAAATGTATTTGTTCCTCTCTTCCTTGCATGATTTACACAAGAGTCTTATGCAAATGTATATTTTTATATGAATTCTACTTTACCTTACATAAAAACTATCTTCTATGTGCTATCATGAAGGAAAAAATCTCCATGACCTATTTAATTGCTATGATTTTTTTTTAGGTAGTAGTGTGTGAAAGTTTATAACAATCCCTTTATTTTCTTCCAGAAGATACAGCAGAACCCAATGGGCCTAAAGAATCTAACAACGCCAGCTGAGTTCATTCTGCTGGGAGTCACAAGGCAACAAGAGCTACAGCTCCCTCTTTTTGGTCTCTTCCTTTTTATCTACCTGGTCACAGTGGTTGGAAACCTAGGCATGATTGTTTTGACACAGGTGGATCCCCACCTACAGACTCCCATGTATTTTTTTATCAAACATTTAGCTTTCATTGATCTTGGCAATTCTACTGTCATTTGTCCCAAAATGTTGGTAAATTTTGTTGTGGACACAAACATCATTTCCTATTATGCATGTGCCATGCAACTGGCTTTCTTCCTTATGTTTATTATTAGTGAATTTTTCATCTTGTCCACCATGGCCTATGACCGGTATGTGGCCATCTGTAACCCTCTGCTCTACAATGTCATCATGTCTCCAAGACGTTGTCACCTCCTAGTGGGCATCCCATACTTCTACAGCACCTTTCAGGCTCTGTTGTTCACCATTAAGATATTTATGTTGCACTTCTGTGGCCCTAACATTATCAATCATTTCTACTGTGATGATGTTCCCTTGTTACCGATGCTTTGCTCAGATTCACAGGAAATAGAACTGTTAATCATACTATTTTCAGCCTTAAATTTGATCTCCTCTCTTTTGGTCATCCTATTGTCTTACACCCTGATCCTGTTAGCCATATGTAGAATGCATTCTGCAGAGGGCAGGAAAAAGGCATTTTCCACCTGTGGCTCTCACCTGACAGTGGTGATGGTGTTCTATGGGTCTCTACTCTTCATGTACCTCCAGCCCAAATCTGCCCACTCCTTTGAAACTGATAAAATGGCTTCCGTGTTTTACACATTGGTGATCCCCATGCTAAATCCTTTGATTTACAGTGTACGGAACAAACAAGTTAAAAATGCCTTTCACAGAGTATTTAAAAATCAGTATAACCTTTGTCCTTGATGATCAATATTAATATTGGTAGCCTAAATTATGAAAAGGAAAAATATAATTGTGATACTGATTGTTAATGCTTTTAAGGTTTGGAATATATAAACTAATATGAGTTAATTGCAAAAATGTTTGTCACAGAAGCATTCTTATTTTTAAGGTTATAAACCATAGGTTTGCTCTATATTTTTGAAAGTATCGACCAACTATGTCTAAAAAAATTGTGCTTGTTTCGCAGACTTTCATTGTTCCGGTGTGAGTTAAGCTGCTACCTGACATGCTGGCATTCCTATAAACTCTGCTTACAGAGTTTCAGTTGCTCTGCTTCCAGCTGAGTTCCATGTTGGAGTACCTGGCAAAGCAGCAGAAGATGATAATCCAAATCTCCATGACCTTGCCTTTAGTGTAGGAGAACTCAAGAGAGTTAGAGGCTCCTGGCTTCATCCTGGTCCAGCCCTAGCTTCTGTGTTCATGTAGGGAGTGAACCAGAGAATGGAAGACCTTCATCCCTTCCTGCCTCTATCCGTGACTTGTATCTTTTTCTGTCTTCCCTCCCCTCCCCAGTAACTCATTTAAATAAACAGGTCTTTTAAAATGTACCTAATTGAAATATATTATTTCTAAAACATGGTGGAGATTATGTGAAACTTCCTTGAGTTATAATTGTTTTACTGGTACATGGATTTGCCTTGATGTTGACGGCTACCAACTAGAGGTCAGGGACAATGCAGTTATTTCTTAAGGTAACACAACATTGTAGTGTGCAATGCTGGTAAGAAAGAAACTGTCATAATTAGGAGTTGACCAGCATACACACTAATGCCATATTAAAGGGTTTGAAATTTCATCAAGCTACTCTGGCATACAATTTAAAATCCAGGAATTGTTTATTTCTAGACTTTTCCATAAAATATTTTCAGTTCACCATTAAGTCTAAGTAACTGAAACCCCAGAAATGAGCTCTGAAGATAAGAAGTGACAACTGTGCATATGGTGTCAGTGTAAGCTATAAAGAATTTAAAAAGTATGGATGAAACAAAAATATGCCAGGAAAAATAATTAATGATAATCAACTTAATAGAACCATGCATTTCACAAGTGATCAATTATTATATTTTAGTAGATGTATTACAAGCTATATCTTTGTACAAATATGCAAGATGAGTAACATGGTCAATGAAAAGTTGGAAAATGAACACAGCTTTCAAAAACACTTACATTTAAATACCATAAATTCAGTTTAGCCAAGATTGAGAATATGCATTAAAATTTGTAGTAAATGAAGGATAATCCATGAAAAAGAATGAACAGGTACTAAAAATGTTAGGAGAAATTTCTTCAAGAATGTGACAGTAATTGTCAGTTTTTGGCTTTGAATCTTGACTTTTAATAACCCTGCTGATGGCATCAGCCACAATATAGAGATGTATGGTAGAGGTAACATGTTCTCAGATATTTGATAACTGGCAGCAATCTATGGTCTTTGTGCGAAAAGATTCTTCTGTCCGTGATGTGAGGTGGTGGAGACAAGTGGAAAAAATTGTTCAAATGAGGACATCAAAGCAATGTCAGGAAGGGCTGATGTGCTTAGAAGACATGGAGCTGAGTACTTTAATGGGAAGAACAAGATAGGAAATGGGATTAAGGAGTCAGCTTGGAGTGTGGGACTTGGAATGATACCTAAGCTGCTCATACTATTATTACATCCAATAGAGTCAAATAACTCAGTCAGTTCAATTTCTCCTTCCTTTCACATCTCAAATTCACCACGTTTTGAAAAAAAAAACATACAAAAATTCAGATTATTCCACATGTGGAATACATGTGATACATGAGTGCACAGAAAATTAAAACTGGAAGAAGTAACAGAGATGAATCCTGAGCTTTCCTACTTACTTCTAAGATTTAGGAGGGATATGCATGATCAGCCTGTGTATATTGCCTTCACTGGCTTTCTGGCTTCTATCCGCAGCAGTTTCTGCATCTTGATCTGGAAGATCGGGAGGGAGGCTTTGTTCTGTGTCTCCTGGTGTTTAAACGGTTCTGTTATGTTGGAGACCAAGGAGACTGCAAGTTCTGGAGTAAAATCTGAGAACTAATTGAGAAACTAATCCAACTAACGATGGGCAAACTTTGAGTAGCTCCCTCCCACACGAAATAAACAGCCACTGCACACAAACGAGCAGATAAATCAGATGAATGTAAAGTCACGATTGAGCAGCATTACCTCCAGTGCATAGCACTACAGTAAAAATTATCAAAAGCACATACTATAGCAAATAGAGATGAAATTTGGGAGAAAAATCGGACCTTCAATGTACACAGTTTACAATTTGCTGAAAGAAAGACATAACATGTATATTTTGCACCTGGACTTGGAACTCCAGTTTCAAGTATTCATCCGTTATGTGACACTGGGCAAATTACAGGCTTTATATAAGTTAAGTGTATTCTGAAGATGAAAATGTCATTTATCTCATGTGTGAGTTATACAATGTTTTAAAGCCATTGTTTAATTCATACTTTAACTAATGCAAGGGAATGTTCACACATGACAATAATACATTTGTTTTCACATGGGAAGCAGTTTGATTTTACTTGAATAAGTCTAATGTGAAAATATTTTGTTATTTCAATCATTGACTGATTATAATTATTGAATTACTTAATTATTGACTTATTACGTGAATGAGAACCTCAGGATGATTTTCCACAGAACCATACAGATAGTTTACGTATTTTTGTTATTTTCTTTGGGTTGTCCTTGGTATTTTTCTCAATGGGGATTCTGTATGGTAGCCTAGATAGTCAACACTTGTATCAAGCATGTGTGTTCTTAAAATCTCTCAGAAGAGCTGAGCATAATAATGTGAATGAATTACATCACAACTCCTCGGGGAGCACCACACACACACAGACACACACACACAGACACACACACACACACACAAGGTGTGGGAGGGAGTTATAAATTCTGCTACTTGGAAAGGAGTTTAAGTACATTAAAAAAATAAATCTGGTTCTTTAATAGGGTGAGTGGAAAAGGAGCATCATTGATTTGGATGTTCACCTAAAAGTGAGTAATTTCTAATTACTTCTGCTTCCTGACTACAGACACTGTTACAGTTACTAAAAGATGATTCTATCAAATAATGTATACAATTTACTGTCTTCTTTATAAAATGATGTTCCCTGGAATATAGTGATGTTTTTGGGTGTTAATCCTGTGAGTTGAACAGGTCATTTAGATCTGTTTGAAATGGGAGAGTTGATAGTGACATGGAAATGAAGAGCAAGTTAGAAAAAAAATTGTGCACCCCATATATTAGAGTCTGTTACCGACAGAATTTCAAGGTGAAATATAAAGGACCCATATACATTTAATTGTCATAGGAACTGTAGATAATGCATAGCACACATCCCACGTAATCTTTCATAAATAACAAATAATGCCTTAGGATGAGTAGATCAATCAGTATGTGTCAAAAATAGAATATTGTAATGGGTTTAGACAAAACTCTAAATTGAAAACATTTCTTAAAAGTATTGACAAGGTTGAATAATTTTTAAAAATTGTCATCTCCATGTAAGAAGGATAGGTAAGGGCAAAGCGAAATGATATGATCTGAGAGATGTAATAGCTGAAAAGAAAATACAGACTCGATAAACACTAGGATAGTTCTTTAAAAAGCACTGGAAATTTAGTTATGAAGATCACTACTTAAAGTCCAATTTTTTTTCTTAATCAGCACTCCTTTTTGTCTACTGTAAAAATTCATGATAATGATTTTTTTGCAACACTACAAAGTCAAAACATCATGTGCAAAGGGAGATAGATCAATTGCTCCAATTGGTACAGAAAGAAATTATCTCAAACAGCAGAGAGAAGGAGGGCTGGAAAATGATTCACAGACAAAGTGCTGCCCTCCTCCTTACAGCCCTTGCTGGATCAGAGAGGATAAAGTTCACCAACATTGAGTAGGATCCTTGAATTACTGTCTGCTCTCACAGGGTGGCTGGCTGTGGGCTGCAGCTGACCACAAATCTGGATTCAAACCTTGTGGTGGACTACTGCAACCTTTTGTCTGCTGCCATCCAATTACATCACAGAATTCTATTTTGCATTTTATTTGACTAAGTATTTTGAATTCCAATTACAGTACCAATTTTAAAAGTATCCTTGCAGAGTTTTGGGTTTTACCGAAGTTAGACTGAAAATGATAGGAAGGAAATTTGACTGCATTAAACTAATTGAGCTTATTGTTTTTAATCAGAACCATTCCATTTAATTTTTGGACAGATGTTGTAATCTTATTTTATTTTCTTATGAATAGCAAGGTGCTTCGAATTATAGTAATTGAGAATCACAATGTTATATAAATATCCTTATAAAATTCCAGGAATGAATTTAGATTTAGTAATAAAGGACACACATGTTCAGATAAATATTGTGAATGCTTTTATAACTTATTATATCCACAGTGTTACATTGGAAAAACAAGTCATATAAAGCAAAAATCCTCAAAGCACCTACGTATTTGTATAAATCATGTGTTGTAGTAGGGATAGGTCAAGATCATGTGTGCCTTCAAGTGTGTGTTAACTTAGAATTTTCTATTTGGAAAAGGAAAATAAAATTGTATTTGCAAGTGGAAAATAAGGTGGATAGTTATACATAGAATGAAAACAAAGATGTCAGTGTTCACAGAAAATGAATTGTCCACACATTGTGTGTATTAGTCTTGCTACTGAAATTGTAGATGCAGCTGACACTATAGAGTAGGAATGCTTTGATACCATTTCTATACCTAACGGCATGTTCAGTAATAAAAGCCATTGAAAAACCTGAGGTTTAAAAAAACTCAGAAAAGATACACCACAGAGCCAGTGTGTTATAAAGTTTATCCTTATCTTTGGAAGTATAGATGAAGAAGCTTAAAACTTACACTAAAGTTATTGTTATGTCTGCCTCTCTCTGTAAAAATCTCACATTTGTGCACACACACCCCTCC